TAACTTCTCATATTAGCTTATACGTGATTGATCAATAAATATTCAACTTATCGAATGTCGTTTAATGACGCTTGCGTTGAAAATGAGTTGGTTACTATATACTTAAAATAATATTTTGAGTTCCTAGAAGTTGTCTCCCGAATACAGAAAATTTTCCTGATACCGTTATTGGGGGTTTCTGATCTGCTCATCTGGTGCTCTACGGTCTCCGAGTTCTTGTTTCATTGGAACTACTGGTATTTCCTGGTCTATTTTTCCTGGATTTACTCACTTAACGTTCTCCCAGTTCTGTTAGAAACTGCTACCAATGCTAGCTATTTTAATGCCTATCAGCCAAGCTTTGCTTACAGGGATACCGGTATCAAAATCAGTCCCTAATTCCACTGGCAGACGTAGATGTTGTGCAGTTTGCTGATTGTTAACGTCAGTACCAGGTGAATGTTGCGGTGCACGATCCACTTTTGGTGAATTTTCGCCTTATGAGGTGACAAAACTGTTGTTACACTTCATTCTGTGTTGGCTGCTATGGCTGCACACCTATAACCGCTATTTAATCGTAAATGGTCTCGAAATTTAGTAAACTAACTAGCAACAGGGGAATTACCGAACCTAAAAATGATGGGACAATTAGACTGCGTCGACATTTTACTAAGTCGTTTGCATTCACAGTGCACACTAGCCATGCCGTAACAATTCAGGATTTTGTATTTCACGGTCTATAGGAGCACCGAGCCCGGTACACTGTAAACTATAGCCTGAAGAGGCAAGGCTATACGTTTCCTCACTTCGGCAGCCAAGCAGTCAATGAGATATTCTGCTTTATTTAGGTAGTCCGGAGAAACTTTTGGATGTTTTTTAACAAGGAGGCTATTGGGTCTAAGTCCGCGAGCTTTTTCTGAGTTATATCTAGTAAAGACTTAAATTCGTCAATATCAGAACGGTTTTCCGTGATATTTGAGATTGGTAGTGTCATGCAATCGAATGGAGCCAATATTTTTTCTGAAGTTCATTTAATTGCCTCTGGATATCTTTCACAAGCTAAGTTAACTCATAGAACCCACAGTTCTCTAACAAGACATCTTTCACCTGCAGTACAGGAGTGAAGATTACATTCGAGCCACCTTGTGAGCTAGTATTTATTGCTGTATTACAGGGCGGAAATGCAGTTATAACTGACCTTGAGCCACTACTCAAAATGAATTTGGTTTTACGAACACATTTCTTAAAAATTTGCCCATAATCTTAAGGATTATATATCAGTAAGCACTAAGTGAATAACAGCGAAAACACGTGAAAAAATGTCACTTTATTTTTGAATAATTATTACAGTGGCCTGCTTAAATCACCAAGCCACCAAAATTTCTATCCATCAAAATGCTTAAACTCTTCTGCACTTCTTGTTGCCACAATCATAATATCATATAGTAATAATGTATATTTTCATATAAACATAAATTTACATGAAAATGCATGCCATTTTTACAGGCACGATCAAGTGTGATATAATGTCAAATAGTAGATTGTCTACAAGTTAAGAATTTTTCAACAGCTAAATATTTTATATATATAAATACACTCATTGTTTGACCCAGGCCGTATCATTATTGAATTGAACAGTAGTCCTCCAGGTTGCACAGGAAAATTGACTTCGTTTCGTTTTCAACCCGTGTTTGTAGACATACGATAACCAACCAATATTGAGGTAAGTACAGTGTTTACAAGGGATAGTAAGCTGTTTTAGAAAATTAAAGGTGCTAAGGTGAATCATTAAAGTGTAATGAAATAGGTAAATGCAATGTATCATTAATAGATGCATTCATAAAGGAAATACAATGGGAGACTATAATCCCTAGGCTGACAAAGTTAATTTGCAATGTATAATGCTACCTATATAGGTCTTACTATCATGATGTCCACTTTTGGTTTTAACAAAGTTATTCACAAGCCGGATGTTTTTATTACATACCTTTTTGTGTATTTGGTGCACAACCGTACTCTATAGAGAATGGGAATAGAATAGGTTGAATCAAATTCATAAAGAGCTATAAAATGTTAGGTTTAATGGAATATAATGAGCAAGTGAAGACGTTATTACAAAATGAATGAGATGAGGCATTGTGAAGTGGTATCCAAAGACCCGACAAAGGAAAGCAAGTTAACTTATAAGATGGCCCATAAACCTGTGCTGAGCCCACTTGGTCGCATCTCAACAATAGCCTGAGCGAATGGTTTATGTTTAAAGGCAGAAGCAGGATCTGTCTAGGCGATAATTATTATCTTTTTCAAGAAAAAGATTCAAGCCCTCATAAAAATCTCGAGCCGTCAAATTGCATATTATCAGATGATTATTAAATGAGCTGGCCCTCAGAAAGTCACTGCAGAATTCTTGAGAGAAGAGAAACAAATTTGCGGATTTTAGTTCTCTCTTCATGTGCAGCAACACTACGTCCCACGATATACTTTAGATTTTGCTTTACATGTGAATCCTGCATGAAGAAGAAATATTTTTGAAAAAATACACTGAAAATTTCTGTGCTAACGTTCACGTAACGCCGGATATAAAGCTCCGTTATTATCATTAACCTGATGACTTGTAGAATACCTTGATATCTCTGAATTACATGAATAATTTGAACTCTATTTCTGTTCTTGAGGCGACTGTGAAATATCTACCTACTCGATTGCAGAGAAAGGTTAAGACCAGTGCCCGCTTAGAGAAAGAGTATGTTGAGTCTAAATTTCGTGATATTTGAGGTTCGCGAAAGATAGTGTAAACCAAACAACCAGTATATTCCCTGGCATCTCACACAGTGCTGAAGCTGACAGATTCATGGGCAGGGAGAAATAATTAGTAGTGGGAGGCTTACAGAGCGCTGTAAAACCGGAAAGATTTGTCACTTAGGATGATTCACAGATAATAATAATTTACATTTGGTATAAACTGGTGTTTACAAGAATTGCATACCATTTTTTGTGAACACTACATTAATTTGGTGACTTTCTAGAAATATCTCATTGGGAAAGAGTTTAACTCACTAAACAGAAACGCTTACGTTTTGCTTGTCTGAAAGAAGAGAATATAGAATCGACTCGTGAAGCAGAGAATGTGAATGGCCCTAGCAATTACGTAAGACTGCACCCAGTGTTGAGAAAGGATAAGAATCGTGTTGCTTCAGCCAATATCAACACCGCGAAATAACAGCAATGTATTTAGTTGTGTTACCTGTTGGAGTGCGAGGGCCAAGATCGTCCGCTGATGTTTATGCATTGTTAGGTAACGGATCTGATGTCACGCTGATTGATGCCCACCTAGCCTACCATTTAGGCGACGGACGACCTGAAGAACCTTTAATGTTAAACACTGTTGACTCTCGTTATACCCTGTCCTGCGAAGGAGTGTCATTCTTCTTGGAATTCCTAAAAACTCAAGATATTATACAGGAATGAAATGCATATACTAATCCTCAAGCGAAGCTTGATGAAATCGTGACAGCTAAACGTGAGGAGGTCGTCGGAAAATTCTACACCGTTGCTCGAAATTCACTACCATAAAGTTGGACTACTTGTTGGGTGCAACATACCAAAAGCGTACAAGGTCATAGAAGAGAGGTAAGAAAGACAGGAGTGAGACGAAGAAGCCACTCGGTTGAACGATAGAAGTTCTCTTATTGAGAGCTTATGAATAATGTCTTGCCAGAAATGAAGATGCAGGCGTAGAGATTATGATTCATGATATTGTTTAACTGGGATTTTCTTAATGGTAGCGGCCCAGATACGTCACGTTCTGTTTGGGGCAAGAAAGCGGTTAAGCTGGTCGAAATCTTTTTCGAGGGGATAGGGAAACAGGTCGTGGGGGTGGAACACTCATATACGTTAAACAACCCATTTGTGCAACGCATTTTAGTCACCCTATTCTGTCACAACTTAATGATTCGGTGTGGGTCGAAATAAAAGTTCTCAGAAGTAAACCTATCCTTATAGGGTGTGTATACCGACCGCCATCATCCAACCGCGAATACGATAACGTACTCAGCAACGTATTTAGTGTTGCATCCAATCTTCCCTTCAGTTATAATATAATTGGAGGTGATTTCAATTTGCCTGATATATCATGGCGTACACTTCGTGGACCCTCGAGGTATGATAATCTTCTTAATTCCATCATTACAGGAGGATGGACACAACACATAG